AATTGGTAGTAGTTAGAATTTGATGGTTGTGGACTTCCAATATTAATTCTACTTTGAATATTTGAATTGATGATTTTTTTCTTTTTTCTTGTATTGCTAAAAAATTTCTTTCGGTTATTTATCTTTTGGTGGTCAATTTGATTTATTGTGATTTTTGTCGAGACTGGGCGATACTGTGTACGTATCGTCTACAAAAATTACTCTATTTTTTGAGTGAAGGCTTTCCTTTAAAATGTAGATCTGTGTCTTATATTTGAAGTATTTCAGTGATTGTTTCTTCTAATTCAATTTCAGAGTCGTGTTGATTGTTGACAAAGGTTGTAGTTATTGAAGTAATTTAAACTCATGGTAACTTTTAACTATCTGCTTCTTTTATTTTTATTGTTGTATCTGCATGTTCTAGTTTTGGTGATGAATTGAGTTGTTATAGGTTCTGGGCCTGTTTTTATTATCAGATTTGCTGTTACGGCATTTAAGTAGTCTTGAACTGAAAATTGAAGGTATGTTACTGTGAAAACCATTGGCGTTTATTCGATGTAAGTGATTTTTCACCCATACGGTATTGATTTTTGTTATTTGTTTTGATTCTGCTCAATTTGGTGTTTGAGTATAATCCGGGACCTGATGCCTACCGATCTCAAGTTATTGTAAGCAATATGGTAAGGGTATTTCGTTTTTATTGTTTCAGGTGAGATTTGGTTTTCCTGGAATTTAATTTGTTGTTTTTCCGCATTGTGTAGGTCTAAATGGGGTTCGAAAAATAATGGTTGTTTTTGTGGTAATTTTTATATATTAGTTGAACAAAATCAGATAGTGGTTCCTGGGTTTTTGGAAAAGAATCTTCATCTTATGAGAAATTGTTTAGATTTTTTTGTCTGTACCGCTTGTCTTGATGAAAAAATTGATACTTTTCAGATTGATTTGTTTGAATAGTTTTGTTATCATGAAAGCTGATTGATTATTAGTTTGTAAATTTAGGTTGTTTGTGGTAATAGGTACAGTCTGAGGGTTGCAATTGTTTTGAAGGAGCTTGGTCTTTTTATGATTTATTGATATTATTGTTGGCAAAAAAATCATAGTTAAGCTTTGAATAACGATTTCTGTTTTGCTTTTTTTTCTAATGAAGAAAGTTTTTTGGTTATCGGTCTGCATGTTTGATGATCCATAGATGAATATTTACCAAAGGGAACTGGTTTAGCTGTTCATTGTAGTTTTGTTTGCAAAGTAATTTTTTTCGAGTTTTACTAATATCGAGTTTTACTAGAACGTTTGTGTCAGTATTCTTATGAATTTCTCATGTTTCTCTTCAATTTTTGAAAATAAATTTAAATTTCTTGCCCTACATTTGCATGTAGTGTTTTTGTTGCGGTTATGCATAAAATGTTTCGTTTGCCTTTAAGATGGATATTTAACTGTACATAATTTTAAAAAATTATCATTTGAGAAAATTGAAGCCGCTCATTGTGAACATTGATATCGTATGTTTTTATAGCTTACTGTAAAAACTGTTGAAAAATTTCATTCTATGTCATCTGTTTGTATTTTATGCGATAGGCTGTTATTAGTTCAAACTGGTGGTAAGATTTCATTTGGGAATATTCCATATTGTGAGGTTATATTGCACAGACTTGGTAAGTCGTGGTCGATTAAGTTTCTTCATACTTCTTCTTTTGGAAATTTGTTTCAACATAAACTATGGCCTTTGTAAAATAATTTGCTATGAGATTGTATCAAAAATTGTAGTTGTCCTTGTGATGGATTGCTGTCTGGATTAATGACAAGTATTAGGATAGAGTCATCCTCAAAATTTGCGTTGTTTTCTCCAGTTTTTGTTTTGTGGAGTGGTATTACTATTAAAGTTTAGTGATCAGTGTGTCTTTATTTTTTGTACTGGAACCAGGAGGGCAACCAGGAGTTTATTTGAAATCACTGAACTAAACTCAAAATTAATCAAAATTGTTACAGCAAACACTCTTTGTGAATAGTATTTTGTATCTAAACCTTGCAGAAATTCAAAACTATAAAAAAAAACTTTTGATTAAAATTGATTTGAAATAAAAAAAACGAATTTGAATAAATTTTCTTAGTTAATTAATTAGGATACCATTAGAAAAAAAAGTTTTTTAAACCTAAAATTGTTTAATTTTTCAAAAACATCTTGCGTAATTCGGAAATATTAAAATTTTGCTTAAAACATTAGACAGAAAACACGTGCTGGTTTATTTTTGTTTAATGAAACTGCGGGCATTTATTGGACCTAAATAGCACACAAATTGCAAGGTGATTAAAAATGTCGAAGTAATAAACCAATTTTTTCTTAATTGTTTTAATAAAAAACGGACAAAAAATCTGGTCCGATCTTGACCGCTGCTTTTGATATTGAATTGCAGCATCTTAGATGCATCAAAGGCAACGAGGTGAGCTGGTTGCTGTGGAAGTAGCGCAGAAGGTTTCGACAACGATGAATGGAGAAAAAAAATTAGAAACTATCAGAAAATTCAGTTTTTTTTTTAATAATGAATGACTGAAATAAGCGTTATGAAAACAAAAAAAAGAACAAATAAAAGATAAAATTGTGATAAAACTTTAGCCGATTTTAACTGGAAAACACTTTCCCTTTAGCCTCTTCGGCGTAGCGGAAGAAAAAATATAGCCCCCCAAATTTGCCAAATTTAAAATGATTTTAGAACAAGCTTGTGTTTTCATTCGTATGTGCGTTCTTACAGGTGCGCATCAATGCTTTGTTTCAATTGAACATAGCGCTGCCTAGAAATACGTGCTAAGCACAAAACAGATGCTTGTGCTTTTTCACTGTGCGTGTTTATATGTTTCGTCAGAATTTTTTTATTGAAGGAGCTATAATCTATTGGAGGGGCTTCAATGGGAAAAAACCTGAAAAAGATGTCAGCTACTTTTCGTCAAAATCAGTGTTAAAATTTAACCTGATGAAAAGTTTGAACCCCCACAAGCTGTGTCGGAGATAGTAATAACTGCATGGAAAAAATAGATCTGCATCCAAAAAAATTTTTACTCATCGAGGAAAAAAACTAAAAATAAATTGTGTTATCGTAAGTCAAGCATCGCATCTTTTGCGATACCACAAAAAGAGCATTGAAGCTAGCAGACAGAAAAGCAAGCAACTAAGTCCAGGTAACTCGAGGTAGCCACAACTAAAAACTTCAAAATGTTTTTTAGAATGATGTTCTTTTTGAGGAAAACATGCCCAGAAACACATTTGATGGCGTTAATGAGAATCGATAAACCGTTTTCCAGAAACTGAAAATCAAAAAACAACTATAATTTCTATTCTAAGATTTTAAACTTTGTGTGCGGTCCGGAGGAAAGCAATCAATTAATTGTTCCCTCGAAAGGGAAAATATACAAAGTCAAGGCTAGTAGAATTACATATTGCAGGATTAACAGAAAACACAAAAAAAACTACAATCAAAAATGCATACAGGAAAAAACTCTAAGATGTGGCAACTAAGTCAAAAAACATAAGAAGGCAAAAATAATCATATAACAATTTTTTTGAAACTAAACATTTCCAATTTAAAAAAACTGGTCCTGGTCAGATTTGAATCAGAGGTCTTTGCCTTCCCAGGTCTTTGCGTATTCGTTACCTCCAGGCTAAGCGTGCCGGAGACGCTTAAAAACTTGAATTCATTATGAGACAAGATATCAAGTGATTCAAGTAATTGTGTTCAACAAGTTATTAGTCCGAAAAAAGTATCTATTCCATTTTGATAGCGCTTGCTAATCGCAAGCGGAATTATTTTCAAAGTTTCCTTAATTGGTCGAACGCCAAAATGGTTGAGCTTGCTTGTGACCAAGTCATCAAAAAAATGAAAAAAGTGAAAAGCTAAAACGAGGTTGCTTTCTATTTTCTATGAAGTTATGTCAAAGGGTAACAAAAGGAAATAGTCGCGTGCCCTTATTTCCCGTGATTTTTTGAGACGAATCAAAAGCAGCAGCTTTCTGACTTAACCCGAACAACAATAACTGTAAGTATTAATTGATCCAAACTACAAATTAACTGCAATCTATTTCAAGGTAGCCATCCTTCCATGTGCACATTCCTCGACAAAACAAAACTCGATGTCACGAACCAAAACTTAACCTTTTTAAGGACGAGGTTGAAAAAAATAGTTTTATTCAAAAAAAGTAGCATTGGGATTTTGAGCAAGCAAATTTTATGTTGCTTTTAAGATTTATTCACATCCCCCAATTTTTCGTTGAACAAAACTAATGAATTTTGATCTGTTCCTTAACCAAATCTTCATTGGGATTATACTCAAAATGTCGTAAGAGACAGGTAAAAGTTCCATGAGATTCTACTTTATCCCAATCAACAGAAGGACAGATCAAGACGACGAAACAAAGCGACAAAAAAATGGGCCGAAACTATTTACAATTAACTGAAAAAAAAATGCCGAGCTTTGATGGCTGCAGTCAGATGGGCGCAGTCTTGTTTATATTTAATTAATTAGTGTCACGTAAATTTTTTTGTTCTAGAATTTTATAAGCAAGAATTTTTTCTGAAGAGCAGTTCTTACCTCAGAAGTTTCGCATTGCATCAACAGAACATTTTGAAAAATTTCAAGCTAGGAAACGAAACTGTTCTCGATTTTTTGAGCAATTTTTTTTCTTTAAATCTAATTTTGAGAGCAAAAATTCTAAATCCTGAAGTCCTTTGCTTTCTGTAACAAAGTTATACGCTGGTAAGTCGTTTATACTTGCTATATGATTTTATCTAGTTAATGGACAAATTTTGTGTATGTTTTGAATTGTGGACATTTTTGTTATATGGAATTAAAGTTTTGGAATATTTGTGATCATTCGCAGACCACATATACTTAGAGCTCATTTTCAAAACCAGAAACCATGGAAAATAGCGCATAATTAGTAGGAAACCACTGGACCATCTATTGTGTTGCAATTTAAACTTCATGTGCGTTTAATATAGTATTTAATATTTACTTCAATTTTTCAAATGGCTTAGTGTCTTTGAAGCGTTACTTTTAACTTGAGTGATTTTACATATTTCAATAAGTTCAACCGTATGGAAAAGTTTTGCAAAACATGGCAACTTTTGCCACTTGAATCGTCAGACGTGGAAGCATCCAGGAATTTCTACAAAGCACTGGGCCTCAATCTGTTCATTAGCAGTCTGATGAAACAGGGCAAAATCATCGCCCGATTCAAAGGCTCAACAAAATACCCTGGAAAGTTCTACCTCACCATGACAAGTCAGTTCCAGGCACCTAATGACATGTTGCGATACACTTTGGGTCCCTTCGAACCAAAAATGGAAGGAGGCGACAGCGAAGATGACGCAATCAAAGATCACGTGGTGCAGTTGAATAGGTTCACGAGTTATTTCAAGTTGACTGAAAATGGTGAAGTGTTGAAGCAGTGTATCATTCCGACTAATCAAAACCAACAGGTCTTAGAATTTTAGGCTATTTTTACATTTCCCCACCTGCGAAATTTTACAAGTAATTTTACTGTTCACTTTGACCGAGTGTTACAAAAATTGGCATGCAGGCTAATTAGGCCACGACACACGTTTTTGGTCGGCATATTTACCTTGTAAAACTCCTCATTACGCCTTAAATGATGCTTATATGAGGTGGGGGATGGAAAAAGGGGGGATTGAAATCAAGCAAAAACTGTTCAAAAAAGCAATTATATATCAGTTCCGTGAATAAATAGCGGAAGCCTTCAACAACGGTTACGAAAGTAATTTATCAATGACTACTAAATTATTGATGAAATAAATTTTACGGCCTGCGGATTTTTTGTTTCGAGTTTCAAAATTCCTATGGACGGATCATCAAATTAACCGATTGCGGATCATCAAGTTTTTAGATGCGAAAGATTTGTAGATTTTTGTTATCTATTATTTCCATTCATTCAATGATTCTGTCTATTTTATGTTATGCTCAACAGGTGACTGCAGTGGTGACTCGATACATTGATGAGGAGGGAAACATGAGACAAAACATGGAGTGCAATGGGATGAAGGTGCACAAGGTGTTCAAACCAATTGATCATCTTTCAGCCGAAGATGAAGAGAATGAATAGAAAATTCATGAGTTAAAATCAGTAATGTTTATTTTCGGCACGGCAAAAAACGGAGAGTTACAAACCGTTTGGTGCTGAACAGGAATTTCTCGAGGGGGGAGCGTATTTTCAAAATATTTTTTAAAATGTTGTTGGCCTTTTTTAAGTCAAACAATTTGATTTTCTGAACTCTGCCATATCACAAAAAAAACACTCTTTTTTGAACAAATTTTTTGCGATGCCAGCGAATTTTAAAAAAGACGTTTTAAGTCCCTCTAAGCCCGCTACTAAACTGAAACTTTTTTTCATAATGCGCTGACGGAATGAAATGTTGTTTTCAAAGCTAAAATTAAGTTGATAGAGTGCCGAGAACAATGCCAAAATTTCTAAAATACATTTAATAGTTTTTAATGAACCAAAAATCGGAAATATGTGCCGAAAATAAACATTCTTGGCTCTAATATCAGCAGCAATGATTGAATGTTTGTCGGTGTTTATTGGGGTAATTTAGGTCAATATAATTCAACAGTTTAGCAATAGATTTTTTCGCTATATTTTTGTAACCGTTAAACAGTAGAGTTCCAATGGTGCAAACAGATTCATCCTGCAAGAAATTTCGTTCTAGAAACTTTTGTCCGATTACGTCATAAATTATTTTATCTCATAATTTCGTTTTATTTAGAATGTGATTTGTCAATTTTTAACGAATAAATTGTAAGAGTTATTGTACACAAATGGCCCGGTTGTGTTGCAAGCTTGCCAGTACCGAGATACGGACTGGATTGTTCATGGAAACGCCTTGCTGTTATCGGCGCATAGGCCACTGGGGGTGAGTTTTTGCCACGGCATGAAATTCGCCGGCAATCAAAACAAGACTGCTCGTATCAGGGCGAAGCCCTGAAAAATCCTACCGCTTTTTAAGGTATATAGAGTAGTGATCATTTTAAGAAAATGAGTGACATTAAAAAACTCAACCAAGACTTCATGCAAAACAATCCAACTTTATTGCAGGGAAATAACCTTTAAAGAGCGTGATATAAATTGAATAACAGGCGCAATTAAGGAAAATGAAATTTGGAATGACCAACATCACGCCACTGCCACGTCGACAAAAACAAGAAGGGTTTGTTTGGGGGAATATAAAAACCTCGGGTTTTTGATCATATTTTATCGCTACAAAAGTTTCTCAACAATCTAGTCTCTCTTACTAATCTAAATTTTCTAGTAAATAAAAACTATCAATCATACGAGCTCTTTTGAAAAAACTTCCTCATTGTCTCTAATTCTGTTTCAACCAAATTATGGGCTCAGCTTGAGACCCTCTGTGATTAATTATTGAATGTTTTCAAAAACTCAACAACAGCAGAGAATGTTACTCAAATAGCGATCTTTTCAATGGATACCAAAATCAAATGGTTCACAAGCATCTAGGAGGACTTTTACGCCTGAAGCATCTTTTTGTGGTATTTTGCCAGACCAAAGGCTTCTATGACACACTCACAGATGGAGACGAAGATCTGATCGAGCCAACAGATATGAGTGCAACACCAAATGCGGATGACCAAGCCAAACACCACGACAGAGAGTTGCTTGTGTACCAAAACTAGCTATCTGACATCGAGCGACACAAATGCTTTTGTGCTAACCGGCAATGAGAATAGATTCCTCCAGCTTGATGATGATCAGTCATGAGGGTGTCGACAGGAAAGGCAAAGGCGACGTTCAAGCTACTTGGAAACTACTCAAGCAGTTTTGAGAGCGACGAGGCAAGCACAGTGGGCACTCCTTTAGCTCAAAGACAATGAAGAGATGTTCCATTACTTCATACGAGCACAGGAGTTGGACACGAGACTTAACCATGCCGGGGAAAAGATGCCAGAGACTTTGTTCAAAGCGATGTTAGTGAATGACCTACCTCCTCGATCCGAACACAGTGTGGTGCAGGAAAGTTTCAATGCTTCTACTACCTTTTCGAACTGAGAAACAGGCTAATAAACAACGAGGAACGCAGATCAGCTTGTAAGGATGAACACGAACAGCACATAGCAATGTCCCCCAAAGGGCTAGGTTATCAAAACCTTTCTTGAAATAACATAATTCAGCATCAGACTCAAAGCAAAATAGTTCTCCTAATACTCGAAAGCAGTAACATGCTATGCATATGGCATAAAAAGACACAAGAGAAACGAATGCATAAAAAAAACAGTTTTCAACATGTCGTGCTTTTTGGCGAAAATGGCCTAGACATAAATTCTGTCGCTCAAAAATTGAAAAAAAAACTTGGTAATCTAACTTTTTCAAGCCTTAACAGAAAAAAAACTCTGAGAAAACATTTTAGCAGAACTCAAACTAAAAACAAAACGTTTTGTGTACATTCAAAAATTAGGCATCAGTTCACAGACGTTAACAGTCCTGTACAAAAAGGAGAAGAAAATGGATAGATGTCTTATAAAACAAGCAAGTTTTGGTAAAATATATAATTTTGGGTCAGAGCTGTGGAAAAAACTAATCACACTCGTAACTTACTGAAAATCTATGGAAAAAGTTTCAGCGTCTTAAAAATGTTTGGTAATCTAACCAACTCAAAAATATTTAGGAAAATTTGAATGTCTTGCTTTTGAGAAAACAATGATAAACCGAAATCAAAACTTGACCCAAGTGCTCAGTAACATATTTTCTATGGATACAATGCTAATAGTACGGCCTAATTAGGCCGAGACTTAATTAAACAACAGACGCGTATGCAGAGTGAGGAGTCTTAATCTCATTGAAAATTTGAATGTCTTGCTTTTGAGAAAACAATTGATAAACCGAAATCAAAACTTGACCCAAGTGCACAATAACATAATTTCTTTGGATACAATGCTAAAAGTACGGCCTAATTAGGCCAAGACCTAATTAAACAACAGACGCATTTGCAGAGTCAGGAGTATTATTCTCATTGAAAACAATTTTCCTGCTCAACATGAAACTGCTGAATTAAAAAGTCAAAAAGACGAACCTGTCTGTTTTGATCTAAGCTAAATCAATCTATGCTAATTTAAGCGTACTTAGCACACCGACTTTAACGTTTATATAGTGAAGTTAATAAAAAGTGGAAAGGATCGAAAAATACAAAGCACGATATGTAGCTTAAGGTTTCAAACGACTCGGAGGTCTCGAGTACTTCGGAACATATGCAACGACAAGTGCATATGTTTAGCAGCTTAAGAAAGCTTAGACAGTTGGATTTCAAGTCAGCATATCTTTATCCGAGGTCGAATGAAGAGGTTTATATCGAGCAGCCTGAAAGTTGTGAAAAGTACTCTCAAAGAAACACCATTTGTTAATGAATCAAAATCAGGACAGAAACTAGCATATAAATATTGGTATCAAGAACTAGCAATTAGGTATCAAGAACTAGCAAGAAAACAAGAAAATTTACGCTTTAAGCTAGGTGAAACGAACTAACTTAAGCCGGCTCTCATGAACAAGATATGCAGAATCTTAAGACCTCATTTGAAAGCAAGTTTCGAATGGATGTTAGAGAAGAACTTGGGTAGTTTCTGGAAAATTGAATTGAAAAAAAAAAAGAAAACATTATCACACGAGATTAAGAGTGTTATAAAATGAATTCTCACAAAATTTAACATGCAAGTTTGTAAGCCGTCAAAACCACCAGCAGAAAAAAAGGTAAAACATGTTAAAGAATCGAGAAACTCACAACTAGCGTGCCCAAAACCATAAAGAAATTTAGAAGGTTCTTTATTATTCCTAGCTAAGCAAACTAGGCGTGATATCATGCGGACTGTAAAATTTCTATCCCGATTCAAGAATTCAGCTACTGCTCAACATTGGTCTGCCCTTAAATGAGTTTGGACTACCTCCAACACTAAAAAAAACTCAAAACGTCTAATCCCGAGGATCACGAATTTGAATTATTTTAAGAACAGATGCTGAACGGAGCGGCAAGACAAAAGATAGATGCTCAACAACGGAATACCACGGTAAGCGTGGGCAAAGTGGGGGCGCTATAAGTTGGCAAGCCAAAAAGCAACCGAATGTGTCACCATCTTCATGCAAAGTGGAAGGCAAATCGCTGGCTTCAGCTGTTAAGGAAGCATTGTTCTTACAAGTCTTCTCGCCAAAAAGGGTTAAAACAGTCCAAACCAACTTCAATTGGAGAAGACAATTTAAGTTGTATCAAAATTGCAAGAAACTCTCTAATGCAAAAATACTCAGAATATCTTGTTACAAAAAATATTTCATTCGCGAGAAAGTCGAAGACAAAACAATTACCGTAATCTATACGACAACAGACGCAACGGCAAGTGATATTCTCACGAAAAATCTTCCACTTACATAAGTCAAACAACACCGCTGAAATTCAATGGGTTAATTCAATTTCAGATTATTCCTGATAGACCCGGGAAAATATGAATGGGGGTATTAGAAAATCGATGAAAATCAAGACAGCAATTGCAAAACTCAAAAACAATCTGCCTGTAAAACAAAACAATCTGCCAGTTGAAGCTGATTTTTTCTTTCTTCAAATGGCAATTCTCAAACTAAACATTTTGATATTGACAACTGATGAAAACATCATTTAATTTCAATCAAGACTTCTCGCAAAACAGTCAAACTTTATCAACTGCAGTGAGTTAATCATTAAAGATCGCAATATATTTTGAAAAGATGCATTTGAATAAGTTGAAATTTGGAATGACTGAAATCACGCCACTGCCACGTCGGCGAAATTTTTTTTTCATGTAGTTTGGGGGACTATAGATACCCCCGATTTTGATACCTTTTTTTCTTGCTACAGAAATCTTTCATTAATCTAGTCGCACTTAGTAGTCGAAACACTCCAGTAATTCAAAATCATAATCACACGGTCTCTTTTGCAAAAACTGCTCATTGTCCTTAATCCTGTTTCCATTAAAATTACAAAGTGATATAATTTGCTTTTAGCGAAGTAAAAAAATGGACTAAATAGCGTGATCAACAGAAAACTATCTTGTGCTTTTCTTTTTAAAATTCTTAGTTTTATCTAGTCTCAACAGATATTTTAATCGTGGTACTATCTTTACCCACTTTTAGAACATTTTGTCGCTCAATTTGAAGGTGTATTTGAAAAC